AAATCGATTAGATTTTTCATACGATAAAGTTAATAAATTATTTTTAATTTAGATGTTCAACTCTGCTAATCGATAGTTTAAAGATTTTATTTCATCTGACGTATCCGTAGAATATAACCTGGTCGTTTGTTATATGTTCTTACGAGTTAACAATGCATCTTGTTAGACCATTAGCGACACTCGCCTTCTTTTTACATATATAGAAGGAAAAACTTATATTTTAATAATGTCTTCACTACTACAATTTAGTGCATATGACATGAATCGTGTGTAATGAGTCATTTATTTAGCAATGAAATGAGAAAAGCAAGAAAAACGAATGATCTTTAACCCTTTCGAGACAGGTTGTTACTATAATGATCAGTACTCGAAAAACGTTTTAAATATCTAGATGCATACCATTTTCTATTTTTTGTTGTAATTGCTATTAGCTATAAAGAGGACTCTGTTTGTGTAGTAATCATATAGTAGAAGTGAATAAAGACTAACTAAATTTAAGTATTACACTGCTATTGAAAAGATTAATTCATTTCTAGACTTAAAATATTTATTTTTGAACAATGTTTGCTTTCGTACAACGTGTCCTTGATTGGTTTAAGAGTTTATTTTGGAAAGAAGAAATGGAACTAACACTTGTTGGTTTACAAAATTCAGGCAAAACAACATTTGTTAATTTAATTGCATCAGGTCAATATTCAGAAGATATGATACCGACTGTTGGTTTTAATATGAGAAAAATTACAAAAGGAAATGTAACAATTAAAGTACGTTTTTTTCTAAATTGACAAACAATGTGAAATAAATTTCAATATTTTTAGATTTGGGATATTGGTATGTATTGATGATTCTATTGTACTTTGAAATAAGATTTTTATTTTCATTGGATTATAATAGGTGGTCAACCTCGTTTTCGTAGTATGTGGGAACGTTATTGTCGTGGTGTTAATGCAATTGTGTATGTATAATTAAATTATATATGAATAGAATTAAGATGATTTTTCTTTGTTCTCAAAATAGGTTTATGGTTGATGCAGCAGATCATGATAAACTTGATGCAGCAAAACAAGAATTTAGTAATCTATTAGAAAAACCTCAACTTCAAGGTATTCCCGTACTTGTACTTGGTAACAAACGTGATCTACCAAATGCACTTGAAGTACAAGAACTTATTCAAAGATTGTAATATAATTTCTTTTGTTAGAATAAAATTATTTATTTTTCTTATCTAGGGATCTGTCTCCAATTAAAGATCGAGAAATTTGTTGTTATTCTATATCTTGTAAAGAAAAGGAAAATATTGGTAAATAGAAAAAGAAAAGAAAAGAAAAGATTTTGTTTTATGTTCTTATATTTTTAATTTAGATATAACACTTCAATGGCTTATTCAACATTCTAAATCGAACAGTAGTCGTTCGTAAAAAGTCAAGATGTCATTGCATTTTTTGAAAAGTTTCAATGTCTATACAGGCAACGATAAAAAGCTTTTATTTTCTTTTTCTTTCATTCCATAAAAATATGTTTCTTTACTTTTACTCTTCTATTTCATATTTTTTTTCTTCTGTCCTATTTGTATAAAACAAACGTCTTCTTTTCTTCTCTGTTGTGTATGTTTGTCAGTATTGCTATCTATTCATTTATTTATTTTATTCTATTTTGATTTTTATTGATTAAGAGAGAAACAAACAAAAAGTAGAAGGAGAATTATGTATATAACTAAGTTATTCTTTTAAAGATGGACACGTAAGAGATAAAAAAATATATATATTTGACTTAATAAATTTAAAATAACACAAAAAAAAGAGATAATAAATAAAGTTTCTACATAGAGTTCAATAGTCTCAAAAATGATTTGAAACTGGAATCGAGAATCCAGTTCTGGTTTCTTGAATATCATATGAAACCGAAGCTGTTAGATCATTATAGATCTCACAGAAAAAAAGATTATTTCTCATTTTACCACACAGGAGAATCAACGTTTCATGATTTTGTAATGTTTTATTCAAAAACTACTAAAGTTCTACATTGCGACCTTATTAAACACTAGGAAGTATTTATGGGTATGAGTATAAATAAAGAATATATGCTATACCTACCTTTGTATTGCCATCAGAATCTATCTGTTCACACTCTGACTATCCGTCACTCCTTTACACTGCTATTCTGACGATATTTCAGTGGATGATTTTAAGAACTATTACTTTAGTACAAAGACTACTTCATATCCTTCTCCCTCTGAACAGTTTTTGTTTGTTTAGTTTTCTTGACTAATTGTATTAGTTTACCTATGAATTGTAAGCGAGCGAATCGATAAACTAGTTATTCGTGCACGGTTGTTAATGGTATTGATGCCATTATGGCTTGCTGTGCGACAGATGTTTGCAATAGAGTCATTAGTATGAAAAACTCGATTGTTTTCGTATTGATTCTCGATGTTGTTGTCATCCTACTGAAAGTCATCATTGTAAACTGCATAAGTAATATAGATGAATCGACAATATTTACAATACCCAGTGTTTTGTTTGTATTTAATCAGATTTCGGCTACTATATTGTCTCTTTTCCATAAATTTTCTTATCCATGATATTATCTAATGACTTCATCAGAAAACATCAACGAACTGATTTTTTTCGTCTTATTCGTTACTTTAAAAGAGAGAAAAAGCTTCTAAAATATGATAAAAGTAGACTTCATTCACACTATATTATATCAATAATATAAATGTACCCGATTGATATGAAAGCTATCAAATCTTAATAAATTATCAACAATGAAAGGAATTTAGCGATTGTTCTTGTAAAATAGTTGAGATAATATGTATACATTTTATGCATTGCAAGACACTACGATTACATTCTGCACGATTATATTTTCCTAGTTTATTCTTTGGTTACATTAAATAAAAAATTTGGCAGTAAGATGTAATCGATAATATAATGAGAGCTGTTGACTGATAAAAACTCTCTTAACAACATACGTATATATCAATAAAGATTCGAATTAATTTAAACTTCATTTTTCAACTTAAAAATTAAAATAAAAGCGGTTGTTTAATGAACTATAAAAGAGAAAAATTCCATCGTATTGTTTGTTAGGTGTGTGTGTGTGACAAGTGGGGATATATAACATGCATAATTATCATCACAGCTTTGTAACACAAAATAAGAAAGAAAAAAAAGTGAAAACAAACAAAAAGAAAAAAATCACCGGAATGAATGAAAATTAAAAAAGAACGAATAAGAACAAAAAAAACAGATTAATAACAAAATGTGAACTATCTTGATGAACGAATTATACTATCTTCAAATAACGCTAATAAAAACATAATGGCAATACCAAGTAAAAAGCCAATATTAACAACTATGAAACGTTTAAACTCAACTTGTCCATCAGCTAACAAAGTAGGCAGCTAAAAGAAATAAATTTTTATCAAATTGATTTTTTTAATAAAAAAAATATACCAAATCAACAAGTGCTATGTAAAGAAACATGCCAATAGTAACTGCAAATATCCATTGACGAATATCATCATTACTTGATAATCCTGCACCAATAAAAAATCCTATAATAGCTGTTGTAGCTGAAAGAAAATTCCATAAAACAGCTCGATAATGTGTAAAACCAGATTGAATTAATACAGCATAATCTCCTGAAGAATTAAACAAAAAAAAAATTTCTATGCGTAAATTAGAAGAAATCTTTACCTAATTCATGAGGTAATTCATGAAAAGCAATAGCTAATGTCGTTGTCATTCCTAGAATAAGATCTTGACTAAATGCTGCACCAATTGCAAGACCATCTGCAAAATTATGAATTCCATCTCCAATCAATACCATCCAACCAGTTGATTTAATTGCTAAAAAAAAACAGATTAAACATAATCATTTTGTTTTTTTCGATATTTTATCATGCTGAAATGAGTAGAAATATCTGGCATTTATCTATTAGTTCGATTAGAATAAGTGAGCAAGCGATTGATTTAAATAAAAGAAAGAAACATAAACAAACCGTGCTCGATACCAGGTGCATAAACAGATTTTGCTGAAATTCATACAAGTACAAATCAAAAATTTTATAGCAGAGTGATTTATTCAGTCATAGTTCACAGCAATCAAATCTGTTAAAAAGCTAAAGATGAAAATTTTATTCAATTACTTTTTATTTTTTGAATAACTGGATTTGTATTTTTTAAATCAGTTGTGTCTTGTGAACTTTTAACAACAACAGTTACTGGTGTATGATCATCGCTATCCTTTAAATTTCCTTTTGAATCATGTTTTAATAATGATGTTGTTGGTCGAACATCATTTGAATAAGCACATGGAACACATGTTACATTTTTATTAGTACTATTATTATGAAAAGTTTGATTGGCAGTTGATAATGATGATCCTGTACTGATTTCATTTGATACATGTTGATGTAAATTATGATGCATATGATTATGTAAACGATGACTATGTTCTAAATCAGCATCAATATCAAGTGGTGTATGTTCACAAACTTCTCCATCTGGATGAGAATGATTATGATGAGGTATTGCATGACTATGACCATGTGCATGAAAATGAACAGAATTCTAAATAAAATTCATGAATTTAAAAGATTATTTGGTTTGTTCATTTTAACGTACAGCATTTTTATGTTTATAATGAGCAAATGAATGAAGAAGAACTTCCAAGAGATAAAAACTATAAAGAACTAAAACGAAAAACGTTTCAAATATTTTCAATTCATTAACATACTTAATACACTTGTTAACATTTTCCATACATATTTAGGTACTGAAAATGATGTATGACCATGATCATCGTGATGATCATGATGACCGTGACCACCGTGAAGATCAAGAGCCTAATAATACAATCAAAGAAAACTTTCATGGTTTTTTGAAAAACATACAAGAGGAATTAAATGAAACATTGTATCACCAAAAAGTGTTCCAACAGCAAGAGCAGTAAATAGCGTAAGTACATATTGAAATGAGACTTTATATAACATAGGAAAAGCTAATAAGCCAGCAAGTGGCAACGCAGATACAGTAAAAACAGCTAAAAATCCATAACCATATTCTATAAAAACAAAATTTTCTATATACTAATATATTTTAATTATTAACCAAAACTTACTTTCCAGACTAGTCGGTGGTGTGGGCTTATGTGATTCATGACAAGACTTATTAAGAATTTCTTCTGCAAGATCATGACATTTACTATTGAAGTCATGTTTAAAAAATAGTTCTGATTTAATTAATGGAGGATGTTTATCAGAAACTGAACAAAGTGCATAAGAAGTATTAGATAATAAACACTATTTATTTAATAAAAGACAAAAAGAAAAAGAAATCATTCGAATAAATATCATATTATTTATCACTTACTGATTTCGATGAAACAATATTTGTGGAGAAGATTAAAATAAAACAAATTAACGAAAGAATTAGATGAATAAAATGTAAAAAATTCATATCTAAAAACTAAAAATAGATATGATTTTCTTTCTTCTTTTCAAGTAAAAAGAAAATATTCAATAACTTTTCTCTCATGCATAATCAAAGTATATCCTTCCTGTGAAGAAAAAAGTATCTTCTATTTTCTAATCGAACTAATACCCTATATACTTATTTTTTTTTGTTATATCTGGCTATTGACGATCGAATTACATGAATGAAAAAAATAGTTATATTTTAAAATCTTAGGCTTCTAACAATCCTAACATTCATTCATGTTTTCATTCAAAAATTTCCAGCTAATAGAAAAAAAAAGATATGACCCGGTAAAAAACATTATTTTGTAAACAAACCCTATCAATCATATATTATTTACTTATATGTAGTAAAAATAATAATACTCCACACCCATAGATACTCGTGACATAAAGCTTAAAATAAGATATGATCAGTAAAAAACCTATCACTCTTTTTTTTTGTATTCTAAAAGAATAGTAAATTATCAACGTGCTAAAATCTACACATATAAGAAACAGAACACAGAAGCGTAATAAAGAATGTTCGAAAAAAAACGACAGAACAAATAAGAGAGTATAAGAATGAAGAAAGGAAATAAGCAAAAAAAGAAATCATATTACTATACGTTTACATCGCATAAGACCATGAAAAAAAACCTTTTTTAGCCAAGCCACGAGAACGAGGAAAAAAAAAGCTTTCGCTCGGGTATAAGTAAATGTATTGTTGTTGACGATGAAAATGGCGGACAAGAAGAGAGAATATCCCGACGTTCTCCCTCTCGCTTTATCGTTACTCTGATATATTATGTGAACACGCACGCGCACATTAAAGAAGAAACACTCTGGCAGCAGAAAAGAAAAACATAGAAAAAAAGAGAAAATTTCATGCTTGCGACACATGCGCTTACCATGAAAAACAATCTGTACAGTACAATAATCTATCTATAGACTTTGAACAACATTATAAATTTTATCACGTAGAAAAAAATTTATTTTCTTATTTTTGAAAGTTTTATTTTTCTACGGTAAATTATATACATATACGTTAGTGTATCTAAATACAATAATACACTTAAATATAAAATCAAACCTTTGGTCACACATATATGTATATACTAATGCCCGTATCTACTATAGTTATTGATGTCGCATTGACTATATAAAAAAGAAAACAACAGTACTACTAGCCGGAGAATAAACTTAAAATTTATAATAATAAAAATAAATGTTATTATTGTGTTTAGAGGGTTTCTAATATTTATTTTTGACATTTCTTTGATTATTCTATCAATTATGCCCGATAGATTCAAAATATAACTGTTTCTATGAAATTAAAAGTTCTACATGAACGACGATTTTATATTTAAATTTTAGTTGATAGATATATATTCATCATAGTTTGATCATACTTCATTCAAGTATAATTGTTCAGTTGTTGCTGTCTATTGAAATTTGATAATTGCAATGTCATGATAAGCTGATATTTCGCTTATAAAGTTCAAAATTCATTTCTCTTTGATCGATCAGATGAAGTTACTTGTGCGTTACTGATTATATAATACACACACATCCATTCTTCAAGATTTTTTACTCTTTTATTAATACATTCACATAACATATCATTCTGTCCATTTTGAGCTTCTTTTTTTATTTTTAAATTTGATATTTTTGTAACAAATCTTCAAAGTCTATCTATGTATATTTATATACATATTCTAACAATAAGCAATGTAAATATGTATATATGTGCACATATGAAGAGCGAGAGATGCCACTTGATGTATGGGTACATCGATATAGCAATGAATTAACGTTAGTCGACCGATTGGCCGCTTGAATGTATTTAGTCATAGTGAAACGAGAGAAAAAGAGAAAGAAAAAAAACGAACTGGTTCATTCTCGTCGAGAGAACACTGCCCTTTATAGTGTGGCTTGAATGACAGCAAGAAAACGACCCACCGGTCATTTGATCATCCTTCTTCATATGATGAACATCATTGTGCTATAGAAACGTTCACGTAGTAGATATATGATTGACGCCACCATCTATTTTCTTTTCATAAGGAAAAAAAAGAGAAAGAAACTCATGCAGCTGACCTAGCTCGTCTATCATACATTTATTATTATTTTCTTTTAGATGTCACTTTATTTAATTACAGACGCATTTCGAAAACTCGGTTCGCCGGATATAAAAAATGATGATATTTATGATCGAATAAGTCGTAAATATTCATTAGTTATACTTGGTGTTTCATTTTTAATTGTCAGCTCATCACAATTTATTGGTAATCCAATCAATTGTTATACACAAAATATGGGTAGCCATGCTGGTTATGTTAATTGGGTTTGTTGGATCAGTTCATCATACTATTTACCGTTTGACCAACCATTACCATCACGTTATGAAAAACGGCCTGAAAACATGTAAGTAACAAAATAGGAAAAAAAAGCAGACGTGATTTTTTAATGAACTCATTTCTATTTTACTTATCTTTTAGTCCATATTATCAATGGGTACCATTTATCTTACTTTGTATGATGTTTCTTTTCTATATGCCCGGTTTTATATGGCGTAATCTTAATAAAGCATGTGGAATTAATACAAAAATTATTTCAAAAATGGTTACTGATTTAGATCAATTAGATGGAGAAAAACGAGAAAAAGCTGTACGAGGTTTAGCTAAACATATTGATAAAGCATTAGCTTATCATCGAGAATATGAATATGGTTTAATGTATAATATTCGTCGACGTGCTGGATCAATTCTTTGTTGTACAATGGGTCGTCATTCAGGAAATTATCTAGCTTTTACATATATTCTAGTTAAATTACTTTATATTGGCAATGCAATTGGTCAATTATTTCTTTTAAATGTATTTATGGGTCGTGGATTTAGTCTTATTGGTTTTGAAGTAATGAATCGATGGTGGAATAATCAAGATCTTGAAGTTGTGGAACGATTTCCAAGAATAACAATGTGTAAATTTATTATTCGTACACTTGGTGATAATATTCAACCATATGATGTTCAATGTCTTTTACCGATTAATATTTATAATGAAAAAGTATGAAATTTATTTTTAAATAGGAAACAGCTGGATTCATTGACCTCAATGACTTTTGAGTGAGCGGAGTCAAATAATGGAGAAAGTCTTATTTAAATGATCAGTTACTTTCAGAAAGAAATTAATATATCGAGACAGACTTGTTTATTTTCCTTACATACTTTTATTTTAATACAAAATGAATCAAAAATATTCTGTTTTTTTTCCGGCTGATTTATTGATTACCGTTAATAAAATATTTTTCTTTAGATTTTCATGATGATTTGGTTCTGGCTTGCATTCGTTGCTATTACTTCAGTATATGGTCTTATTAAATGGTTTTATTATTTTACAACAAGTGCTCGTATTAATTTTGTTCAACGATTTTTAGAAGCAAATGAAATTCGTTATTATAAATCATCTACACCACGTCTTGTTTTAAAAAATGAACATGATGATCATACACCATACAAACGTGTAGAAGATTTTGTTGAGAATTATTGTCGACAAGATGGTCTTCTTCTTTTACGTATTATTAAAAAAAATACAAATAATGTTATTGCCGGAGAAGTTATTTGTGCTCTATGGGATAATTGGAAAGTCTTACCACAAATACGTTTTAATACATCAATAGAATCAGATAATGGTGGACAAAGTATTGGTTTAGGTGTTAAAAATCCATTGAAACAAAATAATATGGGTGAAGTCAATGAAAAATTATTATCACCAATGTAATGCATTATGAAAAATGAATATGGAATCGATTAAAAAGAGCATGATCATATTACTATTATTTGTTTCTTGTTTACATGCAGAACCTAATAGTTAGATATCTATATATATATGGTTTATTATTATGTTTATTATTGTGTATTTCGTTCTGTTTATGTAGTGAATAATAAAAGTTTTGTAAAACTGAGTTTTATTGATTCACTTGAAGTTTTCAATTGATTTTTAGTCTAATATACAGTTTTGGTTAACATATAGGAGAACTTCGATCGATTCCATTCAATATGTTTATAGCTGCAAACGTATAAATCGAACTCTGTATTAAAAATACGAATGCGATTTTAATTCTCATAATTCGATTACATTTTGTCACTGAAGTAGTAATTCACGTTAAACAGTTCAAGAGTATGATTATATCTCTAAGCTTGTTAGATCAGACACTCGTTATCTCTGGAATCTTATCTTTTGACATGAGAGTATGTGATATTTATAGATTAAAATTCTCTAAACAATTGTTTTTAAATTATGGGTTTGATCGAGTTAATTAGATATGTTGATTGACACCAGGTAAATTTTTCCGCAATATACATAAAAATATGAATAAAATAATCCTAATTGATCGTATATCCTACTTGAAACGAAATTAAGTGTTCAGTGAAACATGGAAAGATATAATATTGCAAATCATGTACATATTTGCTATGTTGTTTATTTGTTGATTAATTTATCTGTCAAATATTTGACCTTAGTTCACCTACCGTGAATGTTGGCAAATCATAGTTGATGAATAATTTCGTTCTTTGCATCACTAGATTCATTACATTTATGAAAAATAGTTCTGTTTAACTATTGGCGCCATCTATTATAACTAAATTTTAGATTTATTCTAACCTATATTTCCGAGAAGCTTCTTGTGACAATAAATCATTAACATCATTTTGTATATTTGTTCATTCTAACACTTAATTCTATGTTATAATTGGTCAATCCGTCAAATACCATGTCCTACTATGATACGCTGGCAAAAATTCTGATCAATCCTAAAATTGTATCAATTTTCTAACTGTTTCACTGATAAATATGCAATTCTCCACTCTTAGTACGTTACCTGTTTTATTATTACTGATTGAATATGCAGCTTCGATCAGTTTCAATTTACCGATTAATACAAGAAAATGTTTAAAAGAAGAAGTTCATAAAGTACAGTTTTCTTTCAAAAACAAATGACATCATTTTCTCAATGATTTCTTTCGTTTTTCTTAGGATACAATGGTTACTGGTGATTATGATATAACAGTTCTTCCTGGTTTATCAACGCATCTTGATGTAAAAGATACCAAAGGACATACACTTTATAATAAAGAAGATGCTACTAAAGGAAGATTTGCTTTTACAACTGAAGAATATGATATATTTGAAGTATGTTTTGAAACAAAATTACCACATGGTCAACAAACACATCACTTATCACCACAACATACTACAAAAGAAGTATCAATTAAAATAAAACATGGTGTAGAAACAAAAGATTATGATGCATTAGCTAAAGCTAATAAACTCAAACCATTAGAAGTTGAATTAAATCGTTTAGAAGATTTATCAGCTGCAATTGTATCCGATTTTGCATATATGAAACAACGTGAAGAAGAAATGCGTGATACAAACGAATCAACAAATAATAAAGTTCTTTATTTTTCCATATTTTCAATGTGTTGTTTAATGAGTTTAGCTATTTGGCAAGTTCTCTATTTACGACGATATTTCAAAGCTAAAAAACTCATTGATTAATCCTTCCATATTCAAACTCAAAAGAACTATAAACATTGTTTTCTTCTTTCGTTTTTTCTTTATGCATTCTAATTATTAAAAAAAACCAGAAAAACAACAACAACTATTATTTCATATTAAGGTTCTGTTTTTATTTTTGACTAATCTCGTTTTTTTTTTCGTTTTTGCTGTTTTGTAGAATAAGTTTTATTATAATATTTCGATTGTGGTTTAGGAAGTCAATCAAAGATTTAAGAAAAATAAGTTTTTTTTTTATTCTATTTAGAAGCATTTATCGATTAATTAAGTAAATAAGAAATGTTGATAATATTATGATTTTAAAGTGAAATTAATCATTATTTTTAAGAAGACAAACGATATTATACGAAATAAATCAACACAATATATCTTTCAGCAGTAAACAGTTGCACACGCACACATCTGGACTTTGTTTGGACTGGATTTTGAATATTTTGCTTATTGAATGAAGATCTGATACTTTTGCTAATCAGCATTATTGTTGTAATTAAAAAATAGAAGAATAATATTTGTTGAAATCATCTTTTTCAGTTATCAAAAGATGGAATGTTTTATAAAAGATTTGTTGATAAATCAAAAACTTATATCGAATAAAAGAAAACGTTGCGTGCATTTACTCTGATACATTTAAATAAAGAAAAAACTTGATCTTTCACATCCCTTCTTATTACATATAGATCTTTTCACATAATTGTAAGAAAGAATATATTTCACAATGATACAACAACCATTCAAACTATAAAGCAAACAATACTCTATTATATTGATAGTATATCCATTGAGATGAATTCTTTCTGATGAAATATATCATTTATCGCACCATTATTATTTTAGACTTACTTCCAACTTTCGTCATGTTTTATTTCTTTTACACGTAATGTTGATGCATAAGAATGCGTCAGAAGAGAACAGTGAAATGGGAATGTAATCTTGCACAACACACACGACACACTTACTCATTACTGTCATGCGTCGTTCGTAGAATTGTTATAACATATCAAATATAAATATCTTTGTGCATATTCTTCAAAACTATTTACATTCAAATTTGAGACTTCAATGGCAACTAATATACCTTCATGGGCCCAAAATGCGGCTGTATATGGATCAAATGATTCATTCTTATTACTTGATATCTTTCCAAATGATGTAGTTGATGATCTATTTTATAAATTAAAAGATGAAGTTAAATGGAGTACCATGCGACAAAAAGGAAAACGTGTGCCACGTGATATATCTATTCAAGGAACCATAACTATTGAAGATGGCGATGAATATGAACCACTTTATCGTCATCCAGCCGATGAACAACCGGAACTTGTTTCATGGACACCAACAGCATTAAAAATTAAGGAACGAATCGAAGAAGTAATTCAACAAAAACTTAATCATGCTTTAATACAATATTATAAAAATGGAAAAGATAATATTGGTGAACATTCAGATAAAACATTAGATATTTTACTTGGATCTTATATTGTTAATTATAGTTTGGGTAAAATATTTTTTTTAGAAATATCATTAAACAATTAACAGTGATCGATTTTCTTTTAGGTGCTGCTCGTACAATGACTTTAATAAATAAAAGACAATACGGAATTCGACAAGAGTTTAAACTACCACATAATTCTTTGTTTGTATTGGGTTGGCAGACAAATCGTGAATGGTATCATGCCATTCGACCAGATAAAAGATTAATTACTCAAAAAGATCCAGATGAAGTTGCATTTTATGGTGAACGTATATCATTAACATTACGAACTATAGCAACATTCTTAAATCGTCAAACAGGTCAAATGTATGGACAAGGCGCACGATATAAAACAATCAATGAACATCCACAAGATTTTCAATATGAAAATGATGACATGGATATGGTATATGCATTTTCAAATGAAAATAAACAATCGTCAGAATTTGATTGGAATACAAATTATGGTCATGGATTTAATGCACTTAACTTTAAAGTTCTCAATTCAAAACAACAATAAAGTAAAATAACCTGATTATTCTAATCTTCCTATTTTTGTTTTCAAAATATAAGTTTTCTTTATTAAACAAAGAAAAACACTCATACTATTAATAAATACATATATTTCTAAACGGCAATAAGATGCGAAGCAAAGTATTTCTGTAGGCTTTCGTACTTTTTCGACGTATGCATTAGTATTGTATCGTGGTGAACAAAACATTCAGTTCGTTTACAGAAAGTGTCGTAAAAATACAATCTTAACGATGGATTTTTGTTGATACTGATCATAAACTGTTTTCTACAGTATATATGAGAATCTAGAAGTGGTTATGAATGACAATAAAATGTGATCGTATTATCCTTCATTTGCATTTACTTTCGTTGGTCCTCACGTATATTTATTGTTTCAGTTTTGTTATTGAAAATAAACCCGTTTAGATGAAAAGAACTACGTTTATTAGTTAAATTTCTATCAAATAATTATTTTATTACAAATATTGCTGTGTGCTGTAAACAGTGAACAAGATTATAGTTGTATGCTCTACATACTCGATGCAATTATATTCGAGAAAATGAACTATAAGATACAATCTTTTCTAAACATCTTTGAAAAAAATACTGCTACTTGATCAATAGCTCGAAAGTAACTCTTAATGAAAATCGAATGAAAACTGTCTTTTATAAACAATCAAATATTTTCTATAAATTGCCCAACAATGAATGAAAATAATTTGGAAACATTTGACATTTTCATAAATCGATTTTCTTGTATCGGAAAGTTTATCTATAGGGTGTGTGCGTGCGGCTGTTGATGATCAATGACAAGATTAACTCTACCCATACCGACATCCGCATCCCGATTTTTCTTCTTCGCTATTCTCTTCTGAACAAACGCGAAAACAGTTTGATTAAGACTCAGATACTTCGGTGTACTTCGAGAGACTTCTTGGTATTTTCTGAGACTTTCTGTACTTATCCATGCTTTTGTACTTCATAAGTCTTGACGTATGCTTTTTTCCCTTTACTTTTTTATCAACTGAGCAAATACCACTTTATTTCTTCAATACATTGAACAGCCGGGTGGTTTCTATTACATAACACTTATAAAATGCATCACATCTTTAAATACGAAGTAATGTGTGTGTTGTGTTCTCTTTCTTGTTGACACGTGCGTACCGTAACGTACTTTCTATACGCACAGTAACGTGCTGAATCGTTCTTTCTGAACGCAAAAAAAATAGGAGAAAGAAAAAGAAACAGAAATATTTCACATTTCTCTCGTATAAATACGAGAGCATTTTTACTTCATCAAGGTTATTTACAAACCATCAGCATCACACGCAGTTAGTATTTTTTCTTTATTTGATTCTTATTTTAGATTGAACGTCACAATTATTTTATGCATATTTCTGCTCAGAAACAGACAAATTATTTGTTATTTATCTGTTATTTATAACAGAACAATAACAATAACTTCTCATCCCTTGTTAGCGGATCAGTTTTTTTAATACTCATAAATTTTCGTGATGAAATAGTTCTGTAGAAAAAATAATGTAAACGAAGTAAAACATATTAACAACATTCATAATAAATACAGTTGTTTACACAATTTCAAAAATTTTATTTCTAGATTAATTGATCAAGTTTACAAATTCTAATTTCTCATTTACAACTCAACAATCAAAATGCGCGTCTTCGTAACAGGTGCCGCTGGCTTCATTGGTCGTGCTGTCGTCCAGGAACTTATTGACCATGGTCATCAAGTGCTTGGTCTCGCTCGTAGTGATGCATCCGCCGAGCTAATCACTAAAGCTGGTGGACTACCTCATCGGGGAGACTTGGAAGATATCGAGAGCTTGAAGAGCGGTGCAAGAGCTGCTGACGGTGTTATTCATCTAGCCTTCGTCCACGATTTCAGCAACATGGCAAAATGCACAGCAATCGATAGAGCGGCCATCGAAGCCATGGGGGAAGCGATGGCTGGCACCGGAAAACCACTTGTCATAGCTTCTGGCATATTGTTTTTACCCAAGGGAACCCTGACCACAGAAGATACCGAACCTGATCGAAACCATCCTTTTGCCGAGCGTGGGCTGTCTGCAGATCTGGTCTACCAACTGTCAAAGGAAAAGAATATACGCGGTTCAGTGATCCGACTCTCACCTACAGTTCACGGCAAAGAAGACAAAGGATTTATCCCAGCGTTGATCAATCTAGCACGTCAAAAAGGCTTTGTAACTTACGTCGGTGATGGTTCAGCTCGATGGCCTGCCGTTCACCGATTGGATGCTGCGGTTCTATTTCGTCTTGCACTCGAAAAAGGTACCGCTGGCGCGACCTACCATGCCGTTGCTGAACAAGCCATACCGATCAAAGACATCATGACTGTGATCGGCAAACATCTTCAGCTGCCTGTGCAAAGTAAATCTTTGAATGAAGCTGCCGAGGCTATTGGTTTCTTTGCCCATGTGATCAGTTCGGACAATCCCACCTCAAGTGAGAAGACCCAGAAGGAACTGGGATGGCACCCCAGTCAACCTAAATTGCTTGATGACATAGAAGCGAACTACTTCTCTTCGGAAAGCAAAGCGAAATATTCTTCATAAAGAAGAATACTTCTTTGGACTGATGTTGTCAATTTCGTCTCGGCACTCATAGTACTAAAATCACTTCACTTTTGTCTCTAATTATTGCTTAATACAATCGTTTTTTAAATAACAAATAAAGATACTAATATAATTTCTGCTATGAATCGGCTTTTATTCGATAGATTTTATCTTGTCTACAATTTTACTTTTCATGGTCAAATCATTTTCATAGTTTAGAGATTCTTATATCACCGTTTTCTTTACTACGTATCGCATAATGTGCTTAAAACATAAGACATATGTGCATTTTTTATAAGCTATTAAACAGTGAATGATCAGCGTTGTTTCAGTATATGTTAGTTTATATTTTGGAATTAGATGAACTCACCTGTTGAATTAGTGTTCCATGTAGTTTGACAATATATAAATTTCTCTCGATCCAAAGACAAATCGTGAATATTCAGAAATGTCTGAAACCTCGAAATCATTATTTCGATATCGAGCTTTGCATTGCATTTTGTAATCGAGTGAAACTTGAACACTATCTAGCTTATTGAATGTTTATTTCTCAGAAGACAAATATCTTTTATATTTAGAAAATAGTGTAATTATAATAAATAAATTTTTAATGTAATATTCTCGATTATTTTTGTTAAAAATAGATTTATTTTATTAAAGTTTGTTGTGTTCATGGGCTTTTGAAGTTCTAAATTGAGGGTGTGGGTATCAGATGAAAATAACACCCACACCCTACCAATTTTTCAATTGTTGATCATTTTTTGAAATTGATTGTTATAAATGATGTAAATGGTCATCTTGATTGAATAAATTTGATGATGAAACTTCACCAAATGAATCACAAGTTATATGAAAATAAAAACGACGACTATAATAAATAATTAAATTTGAATATAAACAAATATTTTAGATTTAAATAAGAAAACAAGAAGTTGCTATACCATCATTAGAATTTGATTCTTATGATGTTGCTTTTCATTGTGCTAATGGATAAAGAAGACTATCTAATGTATTACAATTTTTTATATAAATTTTTGAACCAGATAAAAATGATTGTTCAATTGACATTACAACATCATGTTTTGATCTTTAAAATAAAAAAAATATTTTTAATATTTATTGTAAACTGACTATTTAGTACGAGAATGAAACATACTGATTATCAAAATGAATTTTTTGAAGATTATAATATTTTTCCATCCATTGATCATACTGTCCAAATGGATCAATAAGAAGTGGAGGATATTCAATTGATTTAATAATAATTATATAATTTTCCATTTTTGATCGTAAAACTCCGTCACTTAACCATTCATAATATATTTGATCACCTAATGAAAATAACATTTGATGATATTGGTCAAGTTAAGTGAACTCCAAATTTGGAGTTTCAAGTTTTTCGACAAATTGTAGCTTGTAACTATGTGCTTTGTTTTCTTGAGCATCACCAGTCGACTCAGTACAGTTCAGAGTATCTATTAGAACAACCAAAAATAGATGATTACAGTTTTTAGGTAGAATTTTTCGCGAAAACTTAGATATCCGTAAACTCCAAATTTGGAGCATACTTAACTTGACCAATGATATTCAGGTCCACCAAATGATTTTTGTTCGTCAATATATCTAAAAAGAAATTTTCTTTAGAATTTTTCAAATTAAAATAAAAACTCATTTACCTGTAGTAAATTCTCTTTGATAAGATCTAATCGCCAGTTTATAATTCGATCTCTAATACATTAAATCGAATGAACAGTTAACATAAGACATCGAAATCCATATATATGGATCAAGATAAGTTAAAAATGCTGATGCAATTGTACATGTACCATTTAATCAGAGATGGGCAACTCCAACTCCGGAGTTGGAGTGGAGTTGACATCGTAGACAACGGAGTTGGAGTGGAGTTAACATCGTAGACAATGGAGTTGGAGTTGCTTACCCCCGGAGTTGCCCATCTCTGGTAAGGGAGTAGGATATATATGGTATACCTTTCTATTGATCCATATGATTCAATATCATAAGTTTTTATATTTGCTGATGCTTCAGTTATTTCAAATAAAATATGTAAAAATTCTTCGGTATAATATGTTAAATCTAATAATGTATATAACAAAATAATATCAATCTAAAATAAATACACAAATAATTTAATATAAAATTGAATTAAAGCTGTATTATTTGTCGTCGAGATTTTTTTTACTTCTTGAAAAATTTGTTGAACAGGTATCATTTTTTCAATTGTTTCATATTGTTCTTTTGTATTTGTTAAATGTTTTTTATCATTTGATTTTAATTTCTATTAGTTTTAAAAAATAATATAGAATAAAATAAAATAAAATAAACTTGATTTTATTTTTGTTGTTTTTGATCAAATGTTTGTGGATATAGAATTGTATTCGTTAATTTTAATAAACCAAATAAATGTGGACTTTTTACTTTTTCTTCGAACTTGAATATAAGACTGCAGTTATATTATCAAGTGAATCGATATATTTCTGAGTGCATCTATGCGTTTAGTCATCACACTATTCAGTATGTATAAGGCATTTAATTTTTATATTTAAGGACGAAGAATGGTCAATGCATATTGTCTTATTGCTTCATTGATTTTAGACTAAATAGCCTTTTCGCGTACCCACGTAAATGGATATATCTTTCTGTGCGCTCACCATTTTAACAACCACGTAACTTGATCACGAGATGCTAAGATTAGAATAACTTCGAATGAATTGAAACTGTAAACTTACATGTCTTGCTCATCTTTTATATATTAGAATAAAAAATATATAATATAAAGAGTTTCTTATAATCACAATTTTTTTTCGGTGTTATTTCATTAGAAGGAAATCATTTGAACTTACTTATTTTTGTATTGTATGTTCGTCGCACTGAACTTTTTCTATTAATCTTCTATTTTTCATTTTGTTATATCCTTTTCATCAATTCAATTCGTATCCTAGTAAAATAATAGTCAAATTTAATAGACCGATTGTTTTTTGATTTATAATACTGTTAAACTTTTCGTTAAAGAGTTAGTTGAGATCATTATTGTTCGTTATATTTATAACTTTTGATCTAAGGAATTGTAGATCTTTTTCACAAAGGTGATACTTTGTGAACTAGTAGTCACCTTGAGACTAATTGAGAAATAAAATTCTACATATACGTCAAATACTTCACACCATAAAATCAATATTTATCAATTCAAGTTGAACCATTATATTGTCATGTGTACTCATGTGAGATATTAGTATATTACTGTTCACATATCGTTTCAGAATAGTTTAACAATTATATCTGTATATTTTTGATTTTCAAGATAATAATCACTCTATTTTCGAATTGTCATTATATCACCATTCTGACATTATTAAGATATTCAGGAATGCATCAATTTCATGTTTTAATTTTGAATATAGCATATTTATATGTATGAAGCGGCTGATGAAATACTACTACTATCAAATTTTTACTAGCCTCAGAAAAGTATGAACTATAATAATAGTAGAATACAGATTTATATCTTATTGTTAATATATGACAACCAAGAAGATTTATTCTGAATATTTATGTAGACATATAAAGAGCGACGAGTATGACTTATGAGAATCAACGCATGTAATAAATGTTGATTAAAATTGAACGTGAAAGTATTTTTTCACTCACTTAAACTATAATTCTCAGCCTTCTTATTTCTATTGCCCTAATCCTGTATCTTTTGTGTTTCTAAATCAAATTTCTATCTTGATATTTTCTATTTTCTCGAACAATTAAATTTGATAATGAGATTGTGAGCACTATATCTAATTTATTTGAAAGAGAGCGATTGAAGAGAAGAATAAGAAAAAAAAAGAAGATGATATATTTCATCAACGTATGGTGTATATATATATATGTACATGATCATGTGATCACAGCATACGTTGAACAACGATCATATCATATACAAATATATCGAAAAGGACTAATAAAAGAATATCATACCATATATGAAAGATAACAGAACAATCGAGGATGACATCGATAACAGAGATTTTGTTTATTAGGAGGTTCGGAGACAGATTTACGTTAAAATCTTTAGTATTAAAATCCGGCAGTCAGATCCAGTGGGATCCAATAGCTGATTAAAATTGAATCTCCATATTATAATATAGTAGTGATTAGATCTCATATTGAATAAATGAGTAACAATTGTATGATTTTACTATTGGATCCATTGGTGGCCCTGTTTTTCGATTTCTTATAAGTACTTATTAAGTATTGGATCTTATCAGACATAGTGTAGGAGTGATTGAGAAAAAAATAACTAAGATATCGATCATAATATATGATGGAAGGATGAATTTCTTTTTATTCTTTGCTCCATTCTTATATTCTCGAGTTATAGTAGGAGAAGAATTGCAAAGCACTGTTCACTGTTGAGAAAAGGAAGTGTTCGTAGTTAGAGAAGTGACCAGTAGTAAAACTTCTACTTGGTACGAATTACTGAAAAATAAATCTACACCGTAATATTATCAAGACAAAAGTGATTATTATAAAGAATATAGAAAAACAACCAGCTGATCATGAATTTATTGATATCGTAATCGTCGCATTTATTCTTTTACTCAATGTTATTGGATTGAATGATCACAAGAAAGTATATAGAAAAATATTGTGTAAAATTAACAGAAAAATTTGTAGTGGAATTTGATATAAAAATCAAATAATTGCATTACCCAGTAGAAAACTATGACTCTTTGTATTACATTTGTAAAATATTATAAAAAAAGGACAAAACGCATCTTTTGAATAAATGAAAAATTCTATCACAAACTGTAAGTTTGATTGAATGGTTTAAATATCTAAAAATACACACCAGAAATATGAAAAATTAAACATTCTGTCTGAATTAATTTGACTTTATATTTGTATCTATTCGAATGCGTACAGCTAAATAATTTGGAGAACATGTCAAACGTTGAATATATTTACCAGAATTATTTGTTGCATCATCTGAATCTTCAAATGAAGTTCGTTGCATTAAACTTGCCATAGCAGGTTTCAGTTCAAAAAACGCTAAATCTTAATCAATACATGCGCGATGACTGCTTCAAAATGACATATAAACATACTAAAGTGGATTTTTATTCTCATTTAAAAATCGTTCAGGTATAAATTTTGTTAGATCAATTTTTTAATAGCATAGATCTCGATGTAGATTATAAGTAATAATAATAATTGTATCTTCTTTTCTTATTGGTATATCATCACGTGCTGCTTCATGACTTATGGCTTCAGCAATAGGAGCATATTGAAGAATTCCTTTTGTTACACACTCAACATAAATCAATGAATCTAATATATCTTGTGTTAATTAAGTTTCATCTATTAAATTATGTTCTTGAGGTTCATTTTTATTTTTTTGTTGAATTTCTAGATATTTAGGCATGTAAAAAATCTTGAGGGTGTGGGTGTGTATGAAGATGAGAACAACACTCACACCCACCCTCAAGGAAAAAAATCGATCATTGAATAAAAGTTTACTATCGTGATTCACCTATACAATGTGCATATTATATCGAAAAAACAAACACGCTCTTAATTTTTTCTCGCTATTCTTAGATTAATAAATGTTGAACTGTATTTTAATATAAAATAATGACAAATATTAATAATTTTAGTGAAATGAAGATTATTGACTTAAAAAGGTACTTCTAGTTTTGTTTTTATTGCGAGTAAAATATAATTTTTATTATAGAAATCTCATAAATTCGATGTATCAATACAAATAAATCTAGGTGTAATATTCGATTTGATATACAACATAAATGTAAACATTGTCGTTGACTTAAGTGTTTTAACTGACGTTAAGAAAAATTGAAATATTTTTATTTAAAAGATTTTAAGAATCTGAAAGGTTTTATAATGACAACTCAACAAACAACTATTGAACAAAAATCAATAAACACCAGTTACCAATCAGTAAGAAATAACTAAAATAAATTTTCATTTTTCGAAACATATTGTTCTCACAACGGTTGATAAATCATGTTTAACACATATAAAAGATATTTTGTTTATCAACTTTAAAATGTAATTTATATAATTCATCTATTATTTTAAAAGAATTCCCATACATGATTCACTTAGTATTTGATTCAGGTACTGAACTATGGTATGATAATCATGATAAAATAAATTAAATATCATTGTCAGATTAAATATTATCTCAATAACTGAACAGTTTATATATTATTTGTTATGGTTATGAATCATAAACTGATTAAATTAATTGATACTGATTAATAATAAAAATGTTTTTTTTATTTTCAGTCAAAATATATTGATAGGCTTATTCGTTATTTGTTACAACGAAGTTCATTTACTAATTGTGTTATTAAAATATTAAATTTTGTTGAACAAATTTTTTAACGAAATTAAATCTAAAATTAATTTAATAAGTATCGATCCATTAATGAAAATATTTCTTCATTTACCACACATTGTTTTATTTATAAAAACTGATTAAGATATAAATAAAGGTTTAAGAAATGAACAATTGATAATTAGAAAACACTAGTTAATGAAGTTCGACGAGCATATATAAAAACAGACATATCATTATCATATATTTATGACAAGCGACTTCGTTATTAATTGTAAATTGGTCACTAATCATATAAACAAGACAACTTTGAGGGTATGTCGATGTACGTGTGGGTGACGGTGTGAATGTCTACTTTTTCTATTCACACCCACACCCACACCTTTGTTGATTAGAAGTAAATACCAACGTGTTTCCGCGATCGATTACATAATTGACTTAAATATTTTGTTTTTCTATAACCAGCTTAATAACAATATTTTTCTCAAAGGTTCTTCCTCTTTATTTGTTAGATTACTGTTGAAACAGATAGTAGAAGGAAAGGAAGAAACATTAATTCAAGAACCACTTTCTCTTTCTTTTTTACTATATATTTACCCTGCTTGAATTACTCAAATGATGATCATGTTTCTTCGTATTATTCATATTTTACAAAAGCAAAGGTGGTTTCATTTTTTAGTTGAAAATTTCCAATATAGCTACAAATAAACTATGACACACACCGAATCTACATGTATCATCTGTATATGTTTCTAGGAATAGTGTTGCATACAGCACCACAAAAATATGTCGTGAAGGTGAAGGTGAGAGTAGAAACCGGATCGACGATGAAAGAATAATGCACCTCCATCCGCACACAAGCGTCGACCATTTTGAGAGTAAAGGTAAAGCAGAACATCATACTCTCATCCTCATCCATCTACTTGCAGTCCAGTTGTCTTTGCTGAATTATCGCAACAGTAAATCATTTTTTTATGTTTTATTAATATTCTTTTTGTGAAATAAATTGCCTTATACTGAAAAATCGTGTACTGTAAGTTACGGAGGTTGATCGTATTTGGTTTAGCCGGATACTCATGTTGCCAAGCTAACAAGTTCAAAGTATTTCGTACTTACAGCGTGTATTGAATGAGATATTTTGTTTTTCCTATATTAACCGTATATATGATTGACACTTATAAAATCTAAAGTTTCATTAAAATCTTTGTTTCTTTCAATAAATGTGTTTCAAACTTGAAAAATAAAAATAAGAACTGATTATAGCATCGTAATAATGACATGCTTTCTGTGTTAACCTTTCATCCATTCAATCACTTCTCGTATTCCATCTGCATCTAATAATTCAAGGCAGAAATTATTTTGTTCACTTCAACATTATTTATAAAAATGTCATTTATAAAAACTTCCTCATATACAGTTTACAACGTATATTCAGTAGTTATGTGTGACAGATCAAATGTCTTTATTCGCTTCGCTCATACTCTCATCGTAGTTTGTTTTTAAATCAGCTTAAGCCTATTGCTCGAAATCATCATATGACAAGGAAGTAATAGTTTTTTCTCGGAAAAAAACTATTGATTCAATATTTACCAACAATAATAATACAAAAAAGCTAAGCCTACTTGATCCTCAAAGATTAATGCATGTATAACGAAAGTCAAAAATATAATTAATATTCGTGTACTTTGCTATTATGCAAGAATCACTAGAGCAAAATATCAAAGGTTAAAAGTTTAAATTGGAAACTATAATCATTTCACCATAAAATAATATGATGTAATGATTCATGCGAGTGTCTATCATCATTCTTAGCAAATAGGGTCATATGATTATATGATGTCGTTGAAATGATACACAAGAAAAATTGCCAAGTTTCTTGCATCTTAATTAAAGAACAGTGAATGATCGGATCAGTTGAATTCAAGAAATAGTCTGAAGACAAAGATAATCTAGTGAAGCTCTTAATATTACGACCAATAATATATAGATGATTCAACATTTTGTCTGAGACCATTAAAAATCCTAAATAGTTATGTTTTGCATAGATAAATTAGTTTGAAAAAAGAATGATAATGGTAATTTCATTAGCTTTACATATAGATAGATTGAATCAATAGAATTTTGTTCATTTACCGATGATAAGTTATGTTAAATGTATAGGATCTTGATTTTGCATAAAGATTAAGGATGCCACTTCCGGGTTCTTTAGGCAACAGAAACTTGATATTCTGAATGATAATATATCGTTGATTCATAAAGTGAAATGTTATCTCAATCGAAAAACAATAGACGCAATATGCAAATCAAATACTTCCTCTCTTCTGATCAAATGACCGTAAGCCCATTATTAGTTACTCATCATTTGTACTTATCACAAGCTGCGCAATAATGTACTTCCCAATATGCTGTTACTTCCTCAATAAATCATGTGTTTTTTGTATTCGCCCATGTATATAAAGGGTTGTTTCGATTGCTGAAATCATTTAATTGAAAACAAAAATGCATTTGGCTATTATTCGTCTTATCATCGTCTTAGGTGTCGCTTTGGCAGTATGCGAGGTAATCATCTGTTTTAATCGAATAGTTTAATATCTGAAATATTTTTCGTTTCATATAATTAGGCTAGTTACGTTTTATGTTCTCGAAGAGTTCCTATTTTTTCGTGTGCATCAATGGGCTGCCCTTCCGTTGGTTGGGCTGTCACCAGCGATCACTATCCATGTGATTGCTTTGAAATTCAGAACATTTCGGGTAAAAAGAGAACATGGTTCAAGATCGAATTATCCACTGGACATCATGGCTATGTAACCGATGACTATTGTTCGGGCGACGTTCCACGCTGTAAATGATGGTATCTACAACCATGGCATTCTTGATATTTGCTTTTGAACTTTTTTTTGCTAATCAAAATGCTTCATACATGATATTCATTTTCTAACAAATAAAAGAAGATACCTGACAATGTCTACACTTTTCTACTGAGTGAATGTGCCATATCTAGATACATAAATAAAAAGGAGTATCAGATGAAGTCTCATTAAGAAAAAAGTTTCACAAAATGACATGTGTAATAGTGAACACGATTAATATAGCCAGATAATGACAAATATTAACTGTAACAGTTGTGTTAAATCTATCTATCTATATATTATACTGTCATTTGTGTGCAAAGCTACATTTACGTAAAATGTTGAGATTCTTTTATATTATGTTTTTTTTCTATGGATATTTAACGATTTGCAATCACTTTTCTATAATACAGATCCATTTGAATCAGGGTTGCCAAACGTCCCGATTTTTAAACTTTTATCCTGATAATATTTCTCCTGATCTCTCTTGATTCTTAATGATTTTCTTAAACCCCTTTCCATAATAGAAGCCTCCCTCTGAGATGAGCAATGCGTGCGACGTATTAGAAGCTCCCTCTTATTTCCAAAAACATTTTCACAGTTTTAAAGTTTTTTTCGAATTTAAGGCAAAAGTTCCGCTGATTTCAATCTTGCTGTGCTAAAATCTGAAAATACTGTTATAAATCTTCTGAAAGACTCATAAAAACCATGAAAATCCGTGGATTCTTTCGTATCATTTTTCGTAGTCATAGTCTATGGAGATTCTTTGGCACTTAATGGAAGCCCCCTCAAGAAGCTTCAGGCGGTGAACACATTGGAGGCACCTATGGGCCTTTAATATGGGTGAAGGAGGAGAACGACGTCGGTTACCTTAATACTAACGTCGGTCAATGCATAGAAAATGAGAAAAAAAGAGGATCATCACAGCAAGATATATGTAGTAGCAATCTAGGTGGTGCGAAATTAGCATCATATTTAATTTTTTGACATTCCAGAATATGAGACCTAATTGGGAAAAGTCTGATCGCATAATAAAATTTTATTTTTGAAAAAATACAAGGTGTGATTTGCAAAAGCTCTATTTCATACTGTGTCTTTACACGATACTTCTATATTTTTTATAAAACAAAATATTTCGAGGATTTCGAGTTCTTTCCAGTATGTTAACTGTCTTCAGCTTTTGTTTCGAAGAATACTCATTTTTTGCGACAAGATATAAATCAGTACCGACAGTCAGTTGCGAAAGTGTAAATTAGTCTCGTCGGTAAACTGATCGATTGAAATTACATGTTGTACCCAGAAGATTCCGATGAAACAAAAAAAAAAAACAGTGAAAAAATCTCAGTCTTTTGAAAAACAATTTTTATAAAAAAATGAATCCAAATATGAGATACCCCTATGGCAGGGTTGCCAACTGTACCCCATTTTGGGGTACAGTGCCCCATTTCATCGCTCTGTACCTTACGAAATTGTGTACCTCGTGAGGTACATATTCTGTACCCCATTCAATCTTTTAAGACTTTAGTACAATTTATAAATCTTCTAATAAAAGTAAGCTATATCCTCCACTAGATTTTTGTCTGTCTTACACAGACATATAATAAAATGTATTGGTGAAGAACTGATCAATACCTATTAACATCCATATTATTCAATGTCCAACTTCATCTCGGATTATTCAATTTTATCTACTATTTTTACCATGAACAATGAAATAAATTTTAATGAATTTTCTCCTTTTGTCACTTCTCATAGTTTCAGTATTTTTTCTTTGATATTTAATAAACATAAATTGTCTTAAAAATGAATCTAGATATAATTTTCTTTTTAATTGATCAGATGATAATCTTCCTATGGAATTGAAAGAAATTTATAAAATAGAAACTTCTGAAGATTCAGAAGCAACAATTAGTAAAGAAATTTCTTGTTTTCGAGACCAACCAACTATTAATATCAAAGAAAAAAATATCTCTTTATCATGAAAGTCAAAAAGACGTTGCGTCTTCAATAAACAATGGTTAAACGATCCCAAATATGCATCGTTTCTTAGAGAATGTGGAACTGATAAATATTCTGTCCACTGTTCTATATGTAAATCAGATTTTTCTATTGCTAATGGTGGTATTTATCTAATTAATAGTCATATTGAACATGTATTAATGTATAATTTTGTACTTCTTTTTAATTGTATTGTTTTCAATCGTGAATTTATGAACTAACTGGCAGAGTGCTTTTTGATAGAAAATGAACAATAAAGCTAATTCAGTTATAAACATAGTAAAATATTATGTTACTTTTTACAAAAGAAGTTTTACTTCATCGTTTTCTTAATTAAATCGAACATTTCAGGAGAAAAATGATGTACCCCAGAGTTGTTCCCCTTGTTAAAAAGGAATGTACCCCAAATGTACCTCAGTTTTACTCTCAAAAACCCCATTTGAAAAATAAGAATTGGCAACCCTGCCCTATGGACAAAAGTCTTTCCTCTCTCTTTATTTCTATGCTATCATAGTTTGTATGAAATTTATTGCCGAGTGGAGATATGACTTGAGAGTTTTATTTCAGTATGGTATACAGATCATAATACAATAGAACTCTCAAGTCTTATCTCTACTCGGCAATAAATTTTATACGAAGTATGATAGCACAGAAACGAAGAGGGGAAAGACTTTTGTGCAAAGGTGTAGTATTGGTGAGCATATAAGAGACAATCAACAAAAATCATTTTTTTAAAGTGAATCTCACAACAAATAACTAAATGATTTGTTTTGTCCCCTTTTTTACCAACTGCACCAGAAATTTATGCAGTATCTTAGTTTTTTATGGCCAGAAACAGGTTCAACAAAGAAGGCTTTTAAAAAATCTCGACTCGTTAAATTTCCGTCTCTATGGGCCGATTGATTTTTTTATAACCGATCTAGTTCCAATGCTGATATAGGCTGATAAATAACAACTTTGGAGAAGTAAGTGTGAGTCAAGTTTCAGTCACACAAAAGTTTGATGATGAGATAATAGGAATATAATGGAAAATGCTCTTAATGAATGTTTAGTACAAAAGTAAAATAAAACAATCTCTGAAATAGTAAAGAACTGTTGAAACCAATTCACTCAAAAGAAAAATACAATCGTGCAACAACAATATCAAAACAAATGCAAGAAACGATTTACTCTGTTCTGTTTCAATTCGCTGGCAGTTGCTTAAAGCCCATTTGTATCTATTTTGTTTATATTTTTCAATAAACAGCTCTGAACAGATCAGTAAAATGAAGTATGTGTAATTATCTTTCTGTTTTCTTTTGTTTCGTTCACTCAGACAGACATTTTCATTGCTTGTTGATTAAAAACCAAAAATTATAAATATTAGAGGGTGAGAAACTTTGCTTTTTCGTAAATAAAGTATGTGACACTGTCGTATTTTCCTTTTGGTTTCGAGAGAAAGTGCCCTGATTTTTCTCCTGACCAACTCCTGTTTTTTAACAAAGAAATCCTGATTTGTAAAATTTGAATTTGGCAATCCTGATTTGAATTTGATTGTTTATATTCTTTTTCATTTGAGCCAGAATTTTCTGAGATGGTCAAATATTGTATTCTAACAAGAAAAGAAAAAAGAAAAGAAATAAAAGAAAAGAGAACAACAAAGAAAGAAAAGAAAAGAAAAAAAGAGACTCAGAAAGTGAAATTTATCTAAATCGAAAAAAAATAAAAGCAATATGCAAATCAAATACTTCACCCTCTCCTAATAAAATGACCTTAATCGCAGTATTAGTTACCCATCATTTGCAATTATCACAAGCTGCGCAATAAAGTATACGACTTTTGTTTTCACCCATGTATATAAAGGGTTATTTTGATTGCTGAAATTATTCAATTCAAAACAAAAATGTATTCGACTATTATTCGTCTTTTCATCGTCTTAGGTATTGCTCTGGCAATATGCGAGGTAAGTTTTTGTTTTAATCGAATAATTTAATATTTAGAATATTTTTCGTTTCGTATAATTAGGCTGATGATGTCATGTGTCTTCAAAGAGTTCCTATTTATTCGTGTGCATCCATGGGCTGCTCTGTAGTTGGCAAAGTTGTTACCAACGACCACTATCCATGTGATTGCTTTAAAATCGAGAACGTTTTGGGTAAAAAGCACAAATGGTATAAGATCGAATTACCCAATGGAAAGCATGGCTATGTAACCGATGACCACTGTTCGGGCGACGTTCCGCATTGTTAATGTTGGTATCTACAATCATGGCATTCTTGATATTTGCTTTTGAACTTTTTTTTTGCTAATCAAGATGCTTCATACATGATATTCACTTTCTATCAAATAAAAAAAGATACCTGATAATATCTACATTTTTCTATCAAATGAATGTGCCATATCTAAATACATAAATAAGAAGAAGTATCAGATCACGTATCATTGAGAAAAAAGTCTCAAAGAATGACACGTATAATAGTGAACACGATTAATATAGCCAAATAATGATAAATATTAACTGTAAAAGTTGTGTTAAATCAATCTATATATTATATCATCAGTTGTGTGGAAAGCTACATTTGAATAAAATGTTGAGATTTTCTTAATATTATGTTTATTCTATCGATATCTAATGGTTTACAATCATTTTTCTATGATACAGATCCGTTTGGATTTGATTGCTTATATTATTTTATATCTAAATCAGAATTTTCTGAGATAGTCAAATATTGTATTCTAAAAAGAAAAGAACAAAAGAAAAGAAAAAAGGGAAAGAAACAGAAAGAGAGAAAAAAAAGATTCAGAAAGTGAAATTTTATCTCAATCAAAAAACAATAAATGCAATATGCAAATCAAATACTTCATTCTTTCCTAATAAAATGACTTCGATACCATAATCAGTTACTCATCATTTGCACTTATCACAAGCTGTGCAATAAATTATATGACTTTTGTTTCCAACCATATATATAAAGGGTTGTCCTGATTGCTGAAATGATTTCATTCAAAACAAAAATGTGTTTGGCTATTATTCGTCTTTTCATTATCCTAGGTATTGCTCTGGCAATATGCGAGGTGAATTTTTGTTTTAATCGAATAATTTAATATTTAAAATATTTCTTGTTTCATATAATTAGGCTGGTGATGTCATGTGTCTTCAAAGAGTTCCTATTCATACGTGTGCATCAATGAGCTGCTCTTACGTTGGCTATGCTGTCACTAGCGAGCACTATCCATGTGATTGCTTTAAAATCGAGAACGTTTTGGGTAAAAAGAAAACATGGTATAAGATCGAATTAGCAAATGGACACGGCTATGTAACCGATGACCATTGTTCGAACAATGGCGATGTTTTACGTTGTTAATGTTGGTATCCAAAATCATGGCATTCTGGATATTTACCTTTAAATTTTTTTTGCTAATCAAGATGCTTCATACATGATACTCATTTTCTATCAAATAAAAGAATAAACCTGACAATGCCTACATTTTTCTATCAAATGAATATGACATATCTAGATACATAAATAAAAAGAAAGTATCAGATTACATTGTTGTGTTTTGATATATCAAGTCGCGAAGAATGACACGTATGATAGTGAGCACTATCAATATAACTAAATACTGATAACTATTTACCATAAAAGTTGTGTTAAATCTGTCTATACATTATATTGTCATTTGTGTGCAAAGCTACATTTAAATAAAAATGTTGAGATTTTTTTATATTATATTTTTTCTATGGATATTTAATGGTTTACAATCATTTTTCTATGATACAGATCCATTTGGATTTGATTGTTTATATTATTTTTCACCTGACTCACAGTTTTCTGAAATAGTTAAACATTGTATTCGTCCAAATAACGACAAGAATTTGACAACAGTAGTTTATTTTATTAATATATCTGATCAATCTTTTACTTTCAATGAATTATATCATTTGAATGTTACCTCAAATGAAATTCTTCGATGGTCGTCATCAATTGATGTTGCTGAACAATATCAATATTATCTCGATCAACCATTTGAATCTAATTTATCGAATCAAACTTTTTTTAATTGTACACGTCCATGGTCTGGATCTCGATGTCAATATGCATTAGAATTAAACGAAGATGAATTAGTCCAAAATTCATTTAAAATGACTTTAACAAATAATATGTTTCGACAAACGTGTTACATTCTATTATAATGTGATCGTGGTGGTCCATTGATTTGTCTCGATTGGCGTGAGATATGCAATGGTCGAATCGATTGTCTAAATGATGGTATTGATGAAATTGGATGCTTGGATTTAGAAATAAATGAATGCAATGAGAACGAGTATCGATGTCAAAATGGATTATGTATTCCAAAAATCTTTTTGGAAATAAAATTTGTGGGAGCACAATGTTTTGATGGATCTGATGGAATTGTTAAGACCAATCATCTTCAAAAAGCTAATTATCTACCACATTTATTCGAATATCAAGAATATATATGTGGATATGACGAAGGGCAATTTACGTGTGGTGATGGAAAATGTGTAGACGATTTTGGTCAATGTCAAAATAATCGACATTTAGCATTGACTCAGTCAATAAGTATTCAAGAAAATTTATCGTATTCATGTTGGATAGTTATGATTTGTCTTAGCAAAATCATGAGTAAGATCGAAAATGTAACATGCGATCAGCTCATGCAATCTTCTGAAATTATTGAAGAATTTAAAAATTGTACGTTTCCTCTTGAATTTCCAGTTATTCCTGTACTCTTTGGTCATGTACGATTTTTATATGATCCAAAAGAAATTGATAATATCAATACAACATTAGCTCTTAAACCTGATTATGTTTGTTATGATGAGCAATTATGTGATTTTCTCACACCTACATTTCATCACAAAAATTTCGCTTGTCGATATGGGAATCAAACAGGCCTTGACTTGAATGTCGAATTAACTGCATGGAAATCTATTATTGACTCCATCGAACCGTACTTTATTGGTTGTATTACTCAACGTTATCAAAACATCAGTTCTCACTATTCATCATTATATCGTTGCAAGAATTCCTCAAAATATATTTCTAAGTATCGAATCGTTGATGGTATACCTGATTGTTTTCTAAAAGATGATGAACAAGCATTTGAATTGAGTTGTTTGTTAAATCAAACACTTCGATTTCAATGTCCAAACGAGAAACAATGTCGTTCACCTTTAATTTCACCAAGTATTTGCTCTCGTCCAATAGAAATAAATTATGAAGAAATTTTATTTTATCAAATATGCGATCGTATTACGGATTTGCCTTTGATATTGATTCATGGACAAAATCATTCAGATGAGACTGATTGTGAACATTGGCTATGCAATAATATCAATACACGATGTGATGGTTTTCGAAATTGTCTTGATGGAGAGGATGAAGAAAATTGTACGAAACCAATTACATTAAGTCATTTCTTTTTCTGCACTGCGCCACAGAATTATACACAGATGTGTTTATCAACCGGCCAAGTCATCAATGGAACTGTCGATTGTTTTGGTGCATTATGTGATGAATTTCAATACTTTCAAACGAACAAGTTTCTTTGCTCGAATGACACGAAATGTACAGAAGATGAAAATCTTTGCAATAAAAACCAAGAATGTCTAGCGTATGATAATTATCAGTTCTGTGTTGACCATCTACAATTATGCTATGACCATGATTTTGATAGTTTTATCAATATGCGGGACATTTCATGTCGAATCATTAATACAGATAATAAGTATTTTTCATTAGATACTGCATTGGTTTATCCAACCTCACAGACTATTACAACTTATTCTATTACAAACCAGATAACTGACAAAGAGATAGAATTGCCGATAAAAAAAAGCTCACAGCTAGATGTTTGTAATGATGGTTTACATATATATCATCGACTTGGAGTCGGCAACTACAGTAGTCTATGCTTTTGTCCACCAAACTATTATGGCGATCAATGCCAATATCAGAATCAACGTGTTAGTTTAACTCTCGTATTGGCAACGGTCCATCAGCCGATTGTCTATGTTATTGTTGTTACCTTAATGGAAGATGACAATAATAGACAAGAAATACATTCGTACCATCAATTTACTTACGAATCAAAATTATATTGTGGTCAACCTGTAGATATCTATCTGTTATATACAACACGAGGAAAGAATAATTCGAAAAACTACAGCATTCGTATTGACGCATTTGACAAGAGTTCATTGACGTATCTATTAAGTTGGCATTTAACAATTCCATTTATTTTTTTGCCAGTCAATCGATTGACTGCTTTTTTGACTATTCCAATATCTCGACCATCGAATTCTAATCATTGTAACCTTCAATGTTATAAAGGTACTTGCATGAAATATCATAATGAAGAACGATTCTTCTGTCAATGTGATTCAGGTTGGTCTGGTGCACAATGTCATATTCCAATCGATTGTAGTATGTGCGCATCGGATTCGGTCTGTATTGGTTCGATTCAAAATCGGTCAATATGTGTTTGTCCTCAAAATAAGTTTGGTTCATTTTGTCGTCTTAAACTAATGTGTCCAGTCGAATTTTGCAAAAATAATGGCCGATGTGTCGTACTCGATGAGAGAATGATTGATGAAAGTTATGTATGCTTTTGTCCTGAACAATTTTCTGGATCAAGATGTCAATACGCCAATCATAGAATAGAGATTTCCCTTAAGAATATTGGAACTCCATCACACTTACTCGTCTATATCTACAATCAGATTAGTTTTGAACGATCAATACCAACATCTATTATACTCAAAAAAATGACTATGTTTCAGAACCATGTCATTTTATACTCTCAATATAGGTTCAAAATGATTCTTGTCAGAATTGATAATCGTTATTATTTAGCTGTACTTCAAAAAGTCGTGCAATCAAATATAACAACATCGATTAATCCTGCACGACGATGCGCTTCCGTCGATGAAATTTTGAATACTAAATTAGTACCATTACCACGAATTCAACGATTGAAAAGCTACCATATTCCATGTCAACGTGATTTTAATCTACAATGTTTTGTGGATGAATTTTACATGTGTTTGTGCACGGAGGAACATCATAGTAATTGTTTTCCATTAGATCATCAATTGAGTTTTATCTGTGAAGATAATGTTTATTGTGAAAATGGTGGAACATGTTTACAAGATCGACCTATGTGTTTTTATAGTATTCTCTGTGTATGTAACGATTGTTTCTTTGGTGATCGATGTCAGTTTTATGCTAAAGGTATTGGATTAACATTAGATGATTTATTGCGATATGAAATTCGACCTAATAGTACATTAAATGATCAATCATTGGTAGTTAAATTAAGTGCAAAATTTATCATGATTATTTTCCTCGTTGGTTTAATCAATGGTTGTCTTAGTTATTTAGTTTTTCATAATCGTGATTCGCGTAAAGTAGGATCTGGAATTTACCTTCGGCTATCATCAATTATTTCTATTCTGATTGTTAGTATGTTAATTATAAAATTCTGGTTTGTAATATACACGTATATGAATCCATTGATCAATCGTAATATTATTCGAGTTGGATGTTTAGTATTAGAACCTTTGCTTCGTCTTTTCTTAAATATGAGTAATTGGCTTAATACTTGTGTTGCCATAGAAAGAGCAATATCAGTCCTGCAAGGAATTAATTTTAATAAGAAAAGAAGTAAATGTATTGCACGATGGATATGTTGCCTTTTACCATTTATAATTTTGGGTTCAATGAGTTATGAACTCATCTCTCGTGATTCATTTGATGATCATGAGGAACAACGTGTTTGGTGTGTACTTCGTTACTCCCAATCAATTGAAAAATATACGACAATAGTTCAATATTTTCATTTTGTTGTTCCGTTTGCAATAAATTTATTCTCAGCTCTTTATATTATCATAAACATTGCGCGTCAACGAACGACCACTCGAACTAAGTTTAATTATAGACAACAACTTCTCAATCAAATCAATGAGCACAAACAACTTATAATCAGTTCTATTGTATTAGCTATTCTACTGTTTCCACGTTTTCTTATTTCACTATTATCAACATGTGTTAAAGCATTACGAAATCCTTGGTTATATCTTTGTGGTTATTTTATTTCATTCATTCCATCATCTTTTATCTTTGTAATATTTGTTCTACCATCGACTTTCTACAAGAAGCAATTTAAACAATCGATTATTACTTTGCGACAACGATTCATGAGAATGATGAGACAATGATACTCTCAAATATATACAATTTAATTTATTAGTCTGAACCTTTAATTTGAAAAATTGAAAGTCTGCTTTTCCTATTGTGAAATTTGGCTTTGAGTGTTTTTTGTTGTTCATATTAAAACAAAGCGTTTCTAAAGATTAACTTCATTTTTAATATTAAATTTGAGTGTGAGTGTGGATGTGAATATGAGTATGAATACAAAGAGTATATGTTTACACTCACACCCACCCTAAAGATATGTTAGTATATAAACAAAAGTAAGAGCTATTTCAGCATTCACCTTCATAACTAAAATCGATACCTTCACTTTTATATTAATATTAGTTAACTAAATTTAAATAATTTTTCTGCGGAAGCTACTCGGACAATATGTGATGATAGAAATATGTCTCAAACAAATAAACCATTTGCGTATTCACCTATTGTTCTTTTATATATGTAGATAAAATATTTCGTTCGGCAGATTGGTCATTGATTCTTATGATTGCTAAAATTCTATCAGCATCAGTCGATAATAATTTCATTGACGTGTTGATAAATTTCCATGATGAAATCTTCTGTATAGCTTGATCTACTATATTTATTAGTAAAAGAAATATACTGAAATCTAATAATTTACCAGAAGAATATTGAGTTACAATTTGTTTAAATACTACAAGTATTGTGTTCTAGATTCAAAGAATAAGAAACATGATTCTTATTTATAACATTTATGATAATATCCGCTTTACAAATATTATTTAAGAACTATAGTACTTGTATAATGAAAAGCAGATACATTTGAAAGTAATATTCATATACCATATTTTCTTGTTGAAATTATGGAATAACACGTTTTTTTTAATGAAATTGAGAAGTAGGTTAAAATATGAAGTGTCAAAATAGAATTAATATCATATTCCTTCGCTTATGTATTATTTGAAATAATACCAATAACTAAAAACATTTAGACCTTTTATAACTTGATCTTGTCTTATGAATCTCTTTAGAGAATTGGAAATAATGAAATGACATATCATTTTATCTAATATAATAATAATTGTATCAAGTAGATTAAAATTTTCGATCATTATTGTTTTTCTCTGAGTCTCATCTAACATGAAAATAACAATAAAGTAAAATAATCTAACTATTCAATTCTTCCTTCTTTTTGTTTTCAAAATATAAATTTTCTTTATTAAACAAAGAAAAAAACATCCATAATAATAACAAATAAAGATTTTTAACAGAAATTTAAAAAAATAAAACGCATATTAATTTGACTTAATCAATGCCATCATCTATCATAACACCTTGTACTGTATAAGTTTTAATACAAATATCAATTTGTGAAAAAAGTATTTCTAAACGTCGATCAATTGCAATGAGATGTTCGTTAACAAGAATCATTTGTAATAATTCAGTAGTATTTAAAGAATCTGATACTAATTTTGAAAGACCTTTATTATAAACACGATATAATCGAGCAAATGTCGAATAACGAAAAAAGCAACATTGTCTAATAGGTGCTAAAATCGATAAATCATCAGCATCATATCGTCCAAAACTACGACCATTGTCTAAATGCACCAAAGCTGTATTAATACCAAATGCACTAATACGCATCATATGATGGCGATCTAAATTGCCTATAAAATAAACTAATAAATAATGAAGAACGAAAATATGAAAATAATTTACCAATTAAAAAATCAAATGCAGCTAAATCCATCATATCAAGTAATAAACGATTATGATAATCTTCATCTATCATAACATGTTCATAACAATAATTTTCATTTGTTTCCCATTGAGCAGTACGAGTTGCACTATATGATCGACGATATGGATGAGAAATTTTTTGCCAATCAACTTCTGGCGGTCTTGGTAATAGAACTTGAACGGAACCTTCTAATTGATCACCTGGTTTACCACAGATAGCATGTGATGTATCACAATAATATGA